CGATCTGGATTATCAGCATAAATAAACCCTTCATTCTGCTTCACACTGGCTGGGCGGGAAATCTTAGTTTCGTTGTTAAACTGGCAAGTTTTGTCCATCAGTCTAAAGTTAAGGCTTTGGCACGCAGGCTTTGAATTGCAGGCAATGTAACACGAAACCAACCGATCCACAGTGAACGATTCGTAAACGTGATCAAGTAGAACCAAGCCATGTTCAGATCGCTGTGTTAATTTGCATCGCTGAGCAAATGTTTTCAATGAGTAGGATGCCAAAATGAACCACAACGAGAAAAGAGCCATGTGTCATCGGCAGTGCTTGCAGTCTTGACGATTTTTGTCACCCAAAGACCTCAAAAACCAACTGGCTATAGAAATCTTTCTCAATTAATATCTAGAAATCATGCAACTTTAAACAGTTGTACTGCACACAGTACCTAAATTGACGGATAGACCCTTTGACCCTTTGCATTCTTTTGTGGCATGAAATCCAAAATAAGGAATAAAAAAAAGTGAAAGATGAATTAAACCTTTTAAAAGATTTATGACATTTGCAGTTTGAGTTTGCAGTTCAACTCTGACATTTCGTAAATGTTTAACAATTTAAGACCATGGTCAGGTGAAAAAATCTACTTTTGTAGTAAATCTTTCAATCTATCATTTAACGATTATCTAGCAGTGGTATATGTTTTATATCTCGGAAAAACAGGAACAAAAATGCACAAACGTTATTTGAAAAGGGAGTTAGCTAATCTCAGTTAGAGTAAAATATCCCGCACGGAAATTTCTACGTTGATGTAATAAACATCGCCAGATAATAAGGCTCTTGACTAGCACTCCATCTAGATGTAGAGGGTATATTAACAATGAAGCTTTTTTTTTTCTTCTACATACTTGCATCATCCACTCTCAATAAAAATAAAATCATAATCACCTGTTACTCTCAAAGAGTTTGAAATAATTTTCAGTCAAAATTCCGTAGTAATAAGGATGAAAATAACTTTATTTAATGTCTAAAACATAGAACCTCCCAAACCAAAGGCTCGTTTTAAAAAACACTTGACCAAACTAAGTGTAAAAAATATGTAGCCAGATGAACGATGAAGAACATAAGCTACAATTAACAACTATTTACCGAAGTGGAGGTAAATATTCACTACTTTCACTGACACTGAGGTGAATAATTGTTTTAGTAAACCATATAAGTTTGCTGAACCACAACATCGCCTGACCGCGAGGATTGCTTTTAGTTGACATAGATGCGAAAATTTGCGAAATTTAAAATCCTCGGTTGTCAGGCATATAAACGAACAAAGGCTGATAGTTTTTAAAGAACCTGTTTGGGGCTGCGTCGGTGGGGGTAACGAAATTATTTGGATATATCAACAAAGTTGAAATGGTAAATTGGCCACCGTAAACTTAAGTGTAACACACAAGGCTATTTTGAAAAAGGACGCACGTACTCAGCTGGAGTAAAATATCTCAAAGGGATTTTTTAACTGTGATAAACATCGCCATACGACAGGGCTCACGACTGCATGGAGTAG